GATTAATTTAACTTCTGCATTGTTTGAAAAATTCAAATAGATCAGTAATTTTATTTGATATAATTAAATATTTTAGTTTTTAAAAATAATTTGATTAGGTTATTTTTATCATATTAATAACGTCTTTTTACATATAACGTAGTATTTTTATTTTTTATCAGTTGTTTTAAAAAGAATGTTAAATATGTTTAGTATTTTAATTTTTAGTGAAAATGGATAGAAATTCTCAAAACTTTGGTCCAATATAATTCTCAATTTTGGTCCAATATAGTTCTCAATTTTAGAAAGGTGTGAATTTAATTATTTTAACTTTTAAATTTATTTAAAGTTTCAAATGTATTCATGATATTATTTGAATTGTTTATACAATTTGAATTATTTTTGTTTCAATGTTAATTGAGAAACGTTTTTGAAACATCAAATAAACTTAACAAAATTTGATTAAAAGTATTATATCTACACACTTCTAAAGATGAATACTAGATTGGTTCAAAGTTTTCAAAAGAGACTAATATCAATTTTTACTTAAAATCAAAGATTAAAATAAAACAAAATTAATAATTAAATTTAATTACATTTTATATATACATATGCTAAAATAATTTTTAAAATTTATACATACATTAAATCACTCCACCTAAATATTAAAATTAATTTTATTTTATACATTTTGAATTTCAATAAAAAGTCCTATTTTAAACATATAATTTTCTTAAAATATTAAAATGTAAATATATCACATATATAATTATTAAATTTTAATATTTAAAATAACTTAAAAGAAATGTATTTTCTTTTATTAATTTATTTATAAATTTAATGTGACAAATACATTCACATGTTTTAACTTATATAATAAGTTTAAAGAATAACGATGATNACTTCATAAATAATTTATAAAAAATGTTTTACATATTTAATTTAAAAAGAAAATATAATTTTTTAAAATATTTTAAAAACGGATTGAATTAAGTAAAAAAGTAATACCAAAGTGATATGGTTATGATATTGGTATGGTATGGGACACTTGTCTACATGCTATTACTCTTTGCTCGATCCCTTCACATATAATTTAAATTAGGAAGTAAATATAAAATATAAAATTTATAAGGAATTGTACACCAAATTTCTTTAGCTGAAGTGTCATTTTAATGTCATCCCACCAAAAAGTTGTCCAGCTAAATTATCCTATTTTGAAAAAGAGAGTTGATAAGTTATAATTATGCAAAATAATTCCATACTTTTAAGTAGGAAATAAATATAACGCTGATAAAATAAATCACCACATTCTAACTCATAAAATGTTCCTTTGTTGAAAGAGAGAGTTGACAAGTTGTTAGTTAAATAAACTTATTTTAAATATTAATAATAATAGTAACTTTTAGAATTTATAGGTAAATTAAATGGTAGTTAAATGAAATATTAGTAAATTATGCACTAAGTATCCAAATAATGTTTTTTATAAGATAATGTATGAGCTCAAACAACACACATGGTTAAGTGACAAATAAATAAAATAGGAAACATGTATATAAAAATGGAAAAAGATTACTGACTTTTATTTTATTTTATTCGTTTTATTTCGATCATATATTTTATTTTTATTTGAAAATTTATTATTATTATTATTATGTTTTTCCTTTTTCATGTTATGATATTTTTCATCTCAAACAAACTCGTGGATTGAGATTGTGTCAATCTTCAAATTTGTCCCATCTTATCCAGTCAATTATATTTTTGTGAATTAATATCTTGTTAGAACTTAGTAATTAACAAGTAATCGATGGCTTATGTATAAGCCCAAACTAAATTGGATTATGCTACCGACCCACTCATATCACGTACAAGGCTTCTTTTTGCACCCTCAGAATTTCTCCATGCACATCAACGGTTTGTGAAGCCTGAAATACCCCAAATATATAAAATAAACTTATGCCCTCTATTTCTTCTCTACACCTCAACCCCTTAGGATTATAAATTTGTTACAAAACAAAACTAGACGTAGTTGCGAAGCTAATTTTTGATTTTTTTTATGCGAGGCTAATAAGTTGGAAAATTTGATAAGAATATATGACTTAAAAGAATTTTTTGACACATGAATGATCATTTTTCTTAAAGATTTATCCACAATGTGTATGTAAATTTCTCAGTTCTCATGTATACAATGTATGTGTAAATATCCAAGGTACAACATGAATGTCTCTATATTAAAGAATTTGGAATTAGTAGGAATAACTTTTTTAAAGGTAAATATAAATTCAAGATCGAAGATATAGAGAGAAAAGAATAAGTAACAGGGAAAGGAAAGATATGTGTGTTATGTGTCTTTGGATGTGAGAAAGAGCACCTATTTATAGGTGTAAGGGGTATAAATGAGTGAAAATATCTTTAGACTTGTGGAACAAGATGTGTAGCATTCAAAAATTGGTTGTAACAACTTCTTGATGCATAACAAAAAGGAAAAACATTTGTGTAGTTCTTATAACTATGTTGCAGCCATATAAGCTTTATTCTTTTGCAATATATTTAAAATATCACAAAAATTCCTCATATATTGCAAAAGATAAGATACAAAAAAGAATGAAAGAAGAAAATTATGGGTCTCATAAGATATAATGCGTCATAACTGGTATAACAAGCTATATAAATCCGTTTTAGATCGAGAAACTTAACTGTAGTTGGTATAACAAATTATATGAATCAAAAACACTTGATATGTGTTAAAGATTTATCAATTATAATACACCCTACAATCTTTATTATTATCGTTATGTTGTATTTACTAGACCATATGTGTGTCCAGTATTCATGAGTGTTTTAGACATCATGTCAAAATCATATGTAAGCTCTCTACTCAACACTCATAAAGTGATTTCATTAAAGTATATGTTACAATCATATACCACCCGTAAAATATATGAAAATCATTAAAAACTTTGTTTAAGCTAAAATTCTTATACTATATAAAATTTTAATTACAAAATTTAACTTTTCAATAATACAATCTCTAACACTCTCCCACAAAGTTGAATTACCATTACTTATTTATGCCAACTTTATATTCTATTACAGTCACGTAAACTTCTTTTATCATATATTGATTATCACAATAAAAACAAACCAGATTAAAAGTTTTAATAATTTTTTTGGCCTTCGTTGTGAGGAGGGAAACAATACTAATGAAAATAATCAGTACTCAGAAACTTTAAGTAACCCATTTGAAAAAAGGGCAATGCATGCGTTAGTATTAATTCTTATAGAAGCAACAGAAAGTGATTTCATAGTTATTTTTTTTTTTATTCTTCGTACTGTCAAAACTCAAACCGTTCAACCATATTCAACATGATCTAATTAATATTATGCTTGTAATAAAATAGTTTTGTCATATATAAACATTCAAACATGAAAATCAAGGAGTATAAAATTTACAAAATTGAGACACATTATTCAACTCAGTGAGCTAAACACTTGTGTGTGTTTCCTTAGTAACACGTAGACCTAATATTTTTGTGAGTTTTAAATTTTGAGTGAATACAGCGATGTTTTTTCTTGTGTTTGAATGTGAATTATTTGAAATTTCTACGAAGATTAGGTCTAGATCCTTGATGTCTTTGGTTAATTAATTTCAAATTTTAAATCGTGCTACGTGTTCCATATATGGGAGAATAAATTAATGTTTGAGGTTTGTGGTTCCAATTCAGGTGTTTGAACCTCCCAAACGCATGTAATGAAAATTGTAAGGGCCCACCACGAAAGGGTTACAAGTTTCCTATTACGACTAATATCTGTATATTAAAAAATAAGGACTAAGGAAAGAAAAGAAGAAGAAAATTCAAAGTTTTGAATCCAAACAGGAAACCCACCATTAAATCATTCAATCTTGCTACCTTTATTAGAAATTGGAATAATTAGCGACGTAAAACCACTTACAAATATTGAGACTACGTATTGGAATAATGATGCTTATTTTTAAGGATTAATTTAACTTCTGCATTGTTTGAAAAATTCAAATAGATCAGTAATTTTATTTGATATAATTAAATATTTTAGTTTTTAAAAATAATTTGATTAGGTTATTTTTATCATATTAATATCGTCTTTTTACATATAACGTAGTATTTTTATTTTTTATCAGTTGTTTTAAAAAGAATGTTAAATATGTTTAGTATTTTAATTTTTAGTGAAAATGGATAGAAATTCTCAAAACTTTGGTCCAATATAATTCTCAATTTTGGTCCAATATAGTTCTCAATTTTAGAAAGGTGTGAATTTAATTATTTTAACTTTTAAATTTATTTAAAGTTTCAAATGTATTCATGATATTATTTGAATTGTTTATACAATTTGAATTATTTTTGTTTCAATGTTAATTGAGAAACGTTTTTGAAACATCAAATAAACTTAACAAAATTTGATTAAAAGTATTATATCTACACACTTCTAAAGATGAATACTAGATTGGTTCAAAGTTTTCAAAAGAGACTAATATCAATTTTTACTTAAAATCAAAGATTAAAATAAAACAAAATTAATAATTAAATTTAATTACATTTTATATATACATATGCTAAAATAATTTTTAAAATTTATACATACATTAAATCACTCCACCTAAATATTAAAATTAATTTTATTTTATACATTTTGAATTTCAATAAAAAGTCCTATTTTAAACATATAATTTTCTTAAAATATTAAAATGTAAATATATCACATATATAATTATTAAATTTTAATATTTAAAATAACTTAAAAGAAATGTATTTTCTTTTATTAATTTATTTATAAATTTAATGTGACAAATACATTCACATGTTTTAACTTATATAATAAGTTTAAAGAATAACGATGATCATTAAAAACAAATTCACATAATTAATTAATCACATGATATATTTTGGACATTAGCTGATATATTTTTTCATTATCATTAAAAATATGTGATCTGGGGTGTGGGACACTGTTTATCGTTGGAAAGTTATGAGATGACAGCCTCAAAACCATGGATGGATGAATAACCATGCTAATTCTTCCATCGAATCAGATCTAAAAGGAATAATAATCTCTTCTGTCAACAATTTAATATATACGTACTGTTCGTACTTCTGCTTATGCATAAGCCTTTAATTATTCCCTCTCTGTTAATCATCAATATGAAAAAGGTGTTTATTTACACAATCCTATCATGCAATACAAGAGCTCTATTTTTCTGTCTTGCTTTTGCAGAAAGGAGATTGGAGAGGTATATAGAGTAATTAATATTCAACAATTCTTATAATCCACTCAAATTGTAGGGTGGGATTTGAAAGAAAGAATAATGAACATGATGAAGGAATACACGAACATGGATGGCTATGCCAGTGTTTGTATTAGAGACGTAGTATGAACCTTGATCTCTTCCATTCTCTTGCTTTTGGGATGAAGCAACTTGGACCAGAAGCCACTTTTCTTGGCAGTTTTATTCTTAACAGGATCATCATCAGCTTCACCTTCGTTTCTTGTTCTCCTTCTCCTGGTGGAAAGAACGCTCATTGACTTGCTTTTTAGGAATCCAGCGTGCTTGGCGGTGAAGAGAAAGATGGAGGCGGTCCTTGGTTCATTGGAGAAAGGAAAAGGAAGGGCTGCTGTGGGAGAGGCACAAGAAGAGGAATAGGAGGAAACAGAAGAAGAAACGGAAGATGAAGGAGAAGAAGAAATAGAGTTTGCTTTGCGAGAAGAAGAGGAAGAGGGTGAGTCGGAGGAAAGTTGAGAAAGCTTGTCTCTGAGACAAAGAGAACATACGCCAGGTGATTGACGATGTTTGGGGTGCTTCTTGCAACGAGCATGGAGCATGAATCTGCCAATGATGTCCTTGTCTTTGGAGGGTGGTCTTGGAAGAGTTGCCATTTTTGATGGGTGTGTTTGTTGTGGAGAAGTGGTTGATATATAGAGAAAGAGATGAAGGAAGGAGGAAGGAGAAAGGAGAAAGTTGGGAGAGTGAGGGTGGTGTGTTTCACTTTCCGTGATAGTTCATGGCTGTTTCCTGAAAATGGTCTTTTTGACGATGTTTGCATGCAAGTTGAAAAATATGACTTGGAATTAGGTTAAGGTTAAAATGGACGACCCTGATTGATGCATGTGGGTTAAGACGGTGGTTCTGATCAGTCCTGTCTCTGTGGAAAAGGCCAAACCTCTTTTGTGGGGCGGCTTGGAAAATCTCAAAATTAAAGTTGACCACGGTAAACGATTCAACGTCCCCGTTTTTCTATTGCTTTTTCCAACAACGCAAATTACACTTTTATTTTCAATCAATTTTCATTAAATTCATTTTTCTTTTATTTAGGTACATAAACTCGTACTGAGTTATCCACACAGTGTGATGTTATTGATAACTCATTATATACGCTAAGGGAATTTATGAATATTAAATTGTTTAGAATTTATTATCTGAGTTGGTAGGAGCAGAGAAGTCGAGGGTATAGCATGTGAGGTGTGTGTGGTTTGGTTGGAATATTTGTGAGTACAGAAGCAATAGTACGTTGCCATGCCTTGACTTAGGCTTCAGTAGAGACAATGTACTGTACTGAACTTCGTGTCTTTCATTCTTAACTTAACTTGTGAGCTGTGACAGGTGTGTTTTCCTTTCCTTTGGTCAATGAATCCATGGGATTCACTCATCCAGCCATTCTGGCACACATTTTCTTCTTCTTTCGGAGATGCAGATTCAAGGTAATTACAAAAAAATAAATAAATAGAATTTATAACTTTAAAAGAATATAATAACTGATTTCATTGTTAATAATTGCGTTAAATAAAAACAAATAAAACAATTTTTAAATTGAAAAAAAAAATTAATCAAGCTTGGTTAAGATTAAAATAAAGATATCTATTCAAGTCTAAGATATCTAAAGTAAAGATATATTTAATTTAATATAATAAAGATACGTTTAAGACTAGTATTATCTATTTAAGCGTAAATAACATATATGGCGAATTTTATTATTAAATAAATTTTAATTAATAAAAGTTGTTGAGTTAAAAATTATTTTACCATAACTTATATTTACCAACTTTATATCAATGCAAAATTATTTAATGTATTATTTGTTTGCATCAAAATTAGCATAACACAATGTCATCAATGGATTAAAGAGTCATTCTTTACTATACATCCTCTCTTATCATTTCAATTTTATTGAAAATCACAAATTTGGTGAATCACATTTCTCATTTAACACTCTTCTTAAATTAGTGTTTTTTAATAAAATTCCAACCAATTCCATGNAATTTTCATTAAATTCATTTTTCTTTTATTTAGGTACATAAACTCGTACTGAGTGATCCACACAGTGTGATGTTATTGATAACTCATTATATACGCTAAGGGAATTTATGAATATTAAATTGTTTAGAATTTATTATCTGAGTTGGTAGGAGCAGAGAAGTCGAGGGTATAGCATGTGAGGTGTGTGTGGTTTGGTTGGAATATTTGTGAGTACAGAAGCAATAGTACGTTGCCATGCCTTGACTTAGGCTTCAGTAGAGACAATGTACTGTACTGAACTTCGTGTCTTTCATTCTTAACTTAACTTGTGAGCTGTGACAGGTGTGTTTTCCTTTCCTTTGGTCAATGAATCCATGGGATTCACTCATCCAGCCATTCTGGCACACATTTTCTTCTTCTTTTGGAGATGCAGATTCAAGGTAATTACAAAAAAAATAAATAAATAGAATTTATAACTTTAAAAGAATATAATAACTGATTTCATTGTTAATAATTGCGTTAAATAAAAACAAATAAAACAATTTTTAATTTGAAAAAAAAAATTAATCAAGCTTGGTTAAGATTAAAATAAAGATATCTATTCAAGTCTAAGATATCTAAAGTAAAGATATATTTAATTTAATATAATAAAGATACGTTTAAGACTAGTATTATCTATTTAAGCGTAAATAACATATATGGCGAATTTTATTATTAAATAAATTTTAATTAATAAAAGTTGTTGAGTTAAAAATTATTTTACCATAACTTATATTTACCAACTTTATATCAATGCAAAATTATTTAATGTATTATTTGTTTGCATCAAAATTAGCATAACACAATGTCATCAATGGATTAAAGAGTCATTCTTTACTATACATCCTCTCTTATCATTTCAATTTTATTGAAAATCACAAATTTGGTGAATCACATTTCTCATTTAACACTCTTCTTAAATTAGTGTTTTTTAATAAAATTCCAACCAATTCCATGTTGGCATATGACACTGTTGCAAGAATGACTCCAACATACAAGTATGGATCATCCTTTACTTTCACTTCTCATCTCACTTCCATGATATCAAGTAGTGTATGTTTGGAACCAAAAATAGAACATTATAAACATGAACCCTTCTTTGCCAAAACTAGTAAAAATGACTATGGATCGAATTATTTTCAATAATAGTATCAAAGTTCAGTTCTTTAGGTTGGTGCACAAAGACTTGCTTAAAGAACATTTTTCGAGATGAATTAGAAAAATTGGCAACTTCTCAAAGAACAAATTTACAGAGCTTCTTTAACCTGTTCAGCATTTCCCATTTCCTTTTCTATTGCATGAGATGAATTCACTAGAGATTTTTCGAAACAGTGGAATAGGGTAGTTTTTAATCATTGATTTGGAACCACACAAAAAGTGTCAAAGCTGTTACTTCATTGTTTGGAAAATTTCAAGGGAAGTTGCTTTTCAGGAGTACCACGTCAATGGCAATTTATAAAAGCATGATAAATGCATAGGACATGTTGTCACTTAAAACATGTATGCAAATAATAATAGCTTTGATAACCTCTTTTCATTCATGAAAAGAACCACCAGACCAAGGTTTACAGTCTTTCCAGTTTTAAAAATTCCACTCATAAAACTGCATAAATCCAAACATAACCAAAAATCATAAACATGAAATTTTGTTGATAATTTTGATAGTTCAAATCATTCATCGCATTACATATTTGAATGATATTTGATAATAGATTAATATCCAATCGAGATGTCAAATATTTGTGCCAGACAATAACTCAAGATGTTGCAGTTCAAAAAAAGCGAGAACAAACAACAAAACGAAGGGCATGTCCTCTTCAGGGAAAAATATCTGCAGTTACAAAGTATCTTATACTACTCAATTTGGTTATTTAGCCGGTTGGGAAGCTTCGGAAGTCTTGAGTTCAATAGGACACTGAGATACATATGGTTTGAGCTGAAAAAAAAAGGACTATATGAGTCAACTATGCATGAGAAAAACTAAATTTATATAAGTGTTTGCATTGCAGAAATTGTCGATCTCTAGTCATTCATGAAGAGGAATAGTATTCTTCATAATAGCTTCCGATCATTTCTATGAAGATGAAGCCATCTTTTGACCTATCTAATGGTCGAGTAGTGCAGGGATGATGAGGGTAAGAACAGTGTCAATGGAATTAAAGGCGAGTACTAATAAGATAAAAACATCATGTTTCTTGCCATTGTGTAAGGGAGACGAAGAAAAGTTCGGACATAAAGAACCGTAACTGACCCAAACTATGCTAATAAAACTCAATGAGTTGAATAAGAAATTTATCCAGGTATTTGTCAGCATAGTATGTTGAAGAAAAACAGGTGAACAAAAGACAAAGATAGAGATGAGATTTAATGAGTGGAAGATGCAAACCTTGAAATCAGTCAAATCAGGAACTACATAATTTGGCAATTTTTCTTGCATCAATACATACCCACCTGCAACAATACGGAGACTTACATTTTATTTTACAGTAAAAAAAATAATGCATCAATATAATAGGTAAGTAGCTTGGCAAATTAATTTATTACAACCCAAAAGTTATAAATGTTATTAGAGTAACAAATCAAGAGATCTATATGATGCAACGTTTACCAACTACATAGACATCCAGGACAAGAGAAACGACCAGATAATTAGCAAGGAGACCACAATTTTTTAGAGTTGGTCATAGAAATGCAAGTAATTTCAGTCAACCAAACCAAAAGGACAATGAGCACTCTTTTAAAGTTAAAGTTAAAACAAGGAAGTAACTTCCATCCCAAGCGGTCCTGTCAATATAAATATGACTTAAGAAGTCCCAAGATTTTTTACTGGAAGTAGGAAAGGCATCACGTGTACACCTCAAATACACATTTACAACAATTAAGAAGGTCCAATTCATCAGTTCCAGAACTCAACAAAATCTCAGTACCAAAAGATTTAGAACTGTAATTGCAGGTGAAACAATTCAGCAAGTGTAACCAGAAAATGTCTTCACAGATCAAGCCCTTTCCCAGAGGTGTTCAACATGTTCATTGTCTACTTGCAAGAAAAATAGTAATATTAATATAACCAGTCAGACTAGTACCAACGACAAAACCTTGATCCATTAAGTGAGGTTGGTTTAAAATCAAAGTAAGACCAGTACAACAATAAAAGTGTATTCTAGTCCAGCTAATCCTTAATTATCCTTATACAAGCAAACTGATTTGACCTCAATGTCAATTGAAGAAACAAACCTTTGCGGGTATGGAAACCAGTAGGCTTGCAATTCTTGCCCTTGTAATAGCCACGAGGAGCACGTTTTGATGATAGAATGTCAAGTGAAGAAGTTCGCTTTCTTCGAAATGCCCTTCCTATTCCTATAATGAGCCCTAGAGGCATCTTTTTCTACAAGTAACAAAGTCATAATCACAAAAATCAAACATGTCTTTCGCAATCAAGGAACGGCACATATAAAACACAAATAGTATTAATACATAATCAAATACAGAAAAATTCTGCAAAAAAGCAACATCGTGCACTAGCAATTGAAGGCCAAATAGAAAGACAGCTGATGGCTAAACAGAGAATTCAAGATGGGTCGGTTTGTGAAAATGAAAACTAGGGGAAGGGAACTCATCTTTACTCACCCCTGTTCGTGGACCAAACTCACATTTGACCATATAATTATCATTTAGATCTATTTTATTATTTTTTTGGGTAAGTTGGGTGTGCACTGGTAACCTTTTCTATTTGGCAGAGGTATGATTCAAGTCCAAGCCATCCTTTCCGAACTTCAGAAGACGCCATTCAGGTTATAGCATCCATGTATCGTGTAGGGAGAAAATGGATGAGATCCAATATTACGAATCAAGATTCAAGAAAAGAAAAAGACAGATGCATTTATGAATTAAATTAAATCAATCAGACTTCTTTTTCGTATCCCTCATATTCAAAGAAGTTGTGTTTATTATGACCAATTAATCAGTGGCGATTGAACACATCACTCCTATTCAAAACAAAATCTAATAAAAAAAACACTAACAAATTATCACAGGACAATAATAAAACCAAAGACAATTTTCGAACAACCGTTCATTAAAAATACCACCTCGAGTTATACCATCGAAAATTCAACTGTCAACATAAATCAGAAATTATTTCTAAAAACTTTAGGCATTTCATCAAATAGGACATAGGCAAGTATGCTTATTAATTAAATCTCCATAGTCTTAAACCAGCCCAAAAAAAGGCTTCAGTATCACCCATGACTTTAAATGATTTATAGAGACTCAACCATTGATGCTAACCATAACATGATTGCACATCCTCAAACATAGATTGGAAGCATAACTAAGTAAACAAATAAGGAGAAGCACAAACTGTTATCCACAGATAGACTTCGAGAAAAAAAGAAAAGAAAAGAAAGAATAATAAAAAAGAGTGATTCCAATTCTCCCCTACCACACCACACTTATCGATAAAATAACAAGATAAAAAACTGATCTGCATTACATATGGTATATGGTTCCTGATTAAGAATAAAAGTGAGGAAAGGGCTTGCTGAGAGTCAAAAGCTTGGGAAGCAGAAGGTGACAAGATCCTCATGTGAGGCTTTTAGGAAAAATAATAATTGGTGGGAAGAGAATGAGGATGCCAACAGTTGGATTGAACTTGGTTGCACTTGCGCATAACAGGATAGGTAGGGATTACAGAGAACTGCGTTGAAACATAATTGCCTCTGAAGAAAGTAACGAGGTTTTACATCTTTAATGAATAATGACAATCATTCTACTGGATTGTATGTTCTATGCAGCCTTTCCTCCATCATAGCTTTATGACAAGCCAGAGGGATCAGACGTATATGAGAATTCTAAGGAATTATGATGTTGTAATATTACAGCAAACAGCTTCAGAGTTATCAAATACTTCACAGCTTCGAAAAGGTTTGCTTCATCAGACCGTAAAAGAAATACATTTTTGAGTGATTGTAAGGCAGATCGAACGCATTGTACGTGGCCCTGACAAATAGGATTTAGCTTTCTCCGTGAGACTCAACAAATTATCTCCTCATACTCCCACCCCAAAGTTCCATTTTTTATACGAATTAAACAACCCCAAAACCTTAGCACCAAACAATATTGAACAAAAGCCAGAAAAAATGCAGAGAGAATCAAATAAAAAGCGTGCAAATTCAATAAAAGAAGTATTAGGGGACATGAGCTTCCAGAAGTATACCTCGAAGTCGCAGAGATACAGCTATACGCTATATGAGGAATAATCCGAGGAAGCGGAGAAAGAAAACAGACAATCGCACCGTGAGGGTTTAGGGTAGAAGGACAAAAATACAAAAGTATGAATATAGCAATTTAATAGAAAAATATAGCAGTAGAAAACATATTTATAATAAATATGTTAACGTGATTGAAACATTTTGCTGATTTAGGGAATCATTTATCACGTTAATATAATAAGTTAACGTGATATTTTAATTTGAGTAATAATTTTTTTCGATTTGAAAAGGTTGAATTTTCACTTTTTCCATATATTTTTTATGTGGATCATAGAAAAGAAGTATAAAAGATATAATTTCCTGAATATGTTATTTTTTTTTATAAGCTAAATCAAATATGAAAATATACTTGTTTTAATTTCATATATTTGAGAAACTAAAAAGTTCTTCGGTACTAAACATTTTCTAAAAGTAATAAAAACTAATATAAAGGATAAATGTAAAAAGTATAAAAATAATTATCATATTAAAAATATATACCACTTAAAACAGTTAAAAATAAATAAAAAGGTTAACTTAATAGTTTAGAATAACTGTTTATGAGATAATAATTAATAAGATTATATATACTTTTAATTAAAGTAGATCAAATGCAAAATAAAGTTAAAATTAATTCTTACTCTATTTTTTTTATGCGTGTGACCTTAGGTATAAGATCCCATTTTAATAGTATAATACTACAAAAGAAATGACACGTTACATAGATACTAAAAGAACCACTAGAAACGACAAACCTCGTTCAAAGAAGAGATCTACAAACAACTTATCTTTTTCTTCCCTCATCTCTTGTTGAAACAACTGAGAAGGTGAATCCCTAAGCTCACACCATTAGGTGATCATCGCAATAGAGAAACAACATACAAAGACAGACACTGAAAAGCAAGGGTAAACTAGATAGAAAACAATACATCATAAGTTTAAAGCATTTCATATAATAATCATGTCTAATTTAATCCAATCCAAACATCTTAACATGCAAAGACCTAAACTGATTGTCCGAACCTAGAATGATTGTCGAGCTATGGCGGGTCATGCACTCGTGGTGACCTCTACTGCTTTGCAAAGCCATTGTCAATGAGTTTCACCTTACCACACTCACGAGGTTAGTCTATTCCGGGCCTTGAGGCATACTTGAAGCCCCCAAGACTAAGACCTCCTGCTACTCCTCGCGACATGGATCAATTTTCTCTACGTGAGAGTGAAAGACCAATGGAGTTTCAGGATAACCCCTAGGACTGAGCTTCCTGCAATCATTCTAAACTTACACAGGGCACCACCATATAACCTCTCCGTGAGGATCATGGAATTACGTCCATCAACCATACTTTGAAACCACATACTTTCATTTGTAACATAACTCAGATCACGATCAATCATATAACTTAATACACATTCATACATGCTTCCCAACGGATATTAAAAACTTCATTTAAATCAAACTAGAACCAAGGATTAAAGAGTAAACTAAAACATGAACCATTCACTCAGAGCACCCTCTAGTATAGCGAAACCAGAGGTTTGTCGCACAGCGACCCAATCTCGTTGTGCGAATAAACTTTCAGTAGTACCAGACCTCAACCTCTTCGCATAGCGCCCCAAATCGCTATGCGAAAGTCTAGGCAGTGGCCCAGACCCCCTAAACACTCGTTATGCGCCACCTTTTGCTATTCGAATTAAACTGGCAGTGATCCCAAACCAGCTCCAGTCGCATAGCGCCCAGATTCGCTATGCGAATCATCAGGCAGAGAGCAACCCTCTCCAACCATTTGCACATCGTACAAACTCGCTGTGCGAATGCCCAAGCAGAGAGCATCTCGCTATAAGGACTCGCTATGCGAAACCATTCGCTTAGCGAGTTTGCATAATCTGCAAAACGAAATTCTATAGAATTATGCAACTCAGACACCATTTACCAATTCTAACTATTTTTCTCAACTTCTAACACTCCTAGATTGTATTATACACGTAATTAAACTTGACTAAATGATTCTAAATCTTCCTACTACCAATCTAAAGTGTTTAGGGATCAATTCCTACTCTAGAACATCAAATTCATCAACTAGGAACTCAAATCACAATCTACCACTTTGAACATTTTTTTGACCATTTTGGTGACTCAAACATGTCACATTTGACCTACCCAAACTATCCCAACAGACCAATTGAGCCCTTAACTCCTAGTTCTCATTTCCACTACCTCACTTCCTCCAAGTTGACTTAAAACAAGATAATTCACTTAAATCTCTATCTAATCACTCTCATAACCGATTACTTGTATCTAGTATGATCAATTACAGATTATGCACCATTCAATTCAGTTCATAAACACCATTTCACAATGGCACAATCAAGCAGTCAAATTTTCATGCAACTCAATACACTTAAAACCTAAAGCCAATTAAATCAGCACCAACACACAAAATTCATCACACTTACATGTCAAACTACTAATTAAAGCAATAATCTAGCTCCCTTACCTCTTATCAACAGCGCAACTCACAGAAACCCCAACCGAATCTTGCGTCGCAAGGAATCTACAAAAACCTACAACTCACCGATTGGTGATAGGAAACCAACCTTAGAACCTAAATTGAGCTAGAAATTAAAGAGAAAACAACCAGATACATGCAAACAGGAACCGTTGCATGATTACGGTCTAAGAACGTATGTAAAAGAGGTAAAACAACTTACCGGCTCCAAACAGGAAATTGATCGGTAGAGATTGTTGTCCTTGACGCAAGGATCGCCTAGGCACTTCCTGATCGTCGAACAGATGATCCAAGAGTGAGAAAGGTTAGAGAGATGGTAAAGAACTCTAGAAAAGTAGTTTCTAGAGAGATGATACGTTTTAAACTAATGAAACTCGTTTATAACAAAACTATTTATAATAAAACCGTTTAATATTAAAATAATCGAGTCTCACTATGTTTAGACTAGTACCACTTCTAAAATATCATTTTGTGGGGTTTCACATTATATGTTTGCACGCATAAAAAAATGGCTCAACTATCAATTAATTTCAAACTATGCTCTCATGTTAAAATAAATTTCATAACATAGTGTTCATAAACATAATATATACGAAGGTCATATTCTTGAGGAGGACATTCATGTATCTTAATTTAAGGAATACTAGTTGCTCTTCTTTTCAATAATATGCTCTTTTAGGTTAGAAGTTACACACATTTTCAAATTCTTGCTAAGAATTACATAGGAAACCTAAAATATTATAGTTATGATGATGCCTGCTACTCTTGCATCATATAAAATTCATTGATCAAAATTCCAACTAAATTCTTTCATGATTTAAGTAGTCATTAAAAGTAAGCATCGTTCATTGAAAGTAGGCATCAAAGTACCAAGACATCGAAAAAAAAGACTAATACCTAATTGTTTTAAAATTAACCAAAATTATTTTTAACTAAATTTCCAATGGCCATAAATTTTACAGAGTATAGACAATTAGTCGTCCGTAATTTTCTTTTGACATAATATCAGTATCAAATTCAAATTAAAGTAAAGAACTACATAACCTAAAGCAAAGTTAATGATGAACATTTGTTGAGGTTAATTTTCATAACTAGAAGAGTACCTATTGCTCTAGAAGTGTCTAAATGTACAAGGAGTGAAGATGGTAATCCAGAAGATATTGCAAAAAGCAAGCAGTTTCATCGAATGCATTCTTAGTCAACCTTTATCTGATTAAAAACTATCACAGACTTCACTGTCCAATTCGATAAAGTTCTTCGTGAACTTACTGAAATAAATTCAAAGACCCAAAAATAGGTTTATAAACTATTTTTATAAGGTACTTTTTCAAATATCCATAGTATACAATTTAAAAGAGTTCATACTGAGGTTTCAAATATCCTTAATATAGAACACATGGTATAGCCTTTTTCATGATATTGCTCTATTAGTTGAGTTTAAACGAACTCAGACGGGATTGTACATGTAATATTGTGCAAACTTGTGGATATAAAAGAGTTAGATTTAAGCTTCGCTTCAGTGTTAGATAATGTCTCACTAACTGTACTTCGGAAACAAAAACAATACATCGTGTTACATTCTATAGCATACAAGACGAATCTTCATATGCGTGATAAAGAAGAACCTAAAGGGATATAGTATAAATTATAATCCTAACCTTTCATACTTTTTACTGTGGCGGCATAAGCAGAATACAAAATTTATGCCGCAAGAAATCATAGTAAACTACACTGTATCTATTCAATGTAACTTTTGATTCTATTCATCTCTGTATCATTTTTACCCCGCTAAAATAACTTCTTCGGGCATGCTTTTAGAAACAGATTCTTCGCATGATGAAAATGGAGCACAGCAGGAAGAAATGTCGATTCCAGCCACCTCCATAGCATTGCAGACCCATTCAGGAACATCACCTTTCGGAAACTGCAGCATGAACAAGTAGGTCTAACAGATTGGATTGGAAAAAATAATGTCAACAGAAATATTTTAAAGGTTTCAATTACAAAACAAAATAAATCCAAACAATAATAATGGCAAGAAAATCAAAATCCATCATATGCTTCTAACAAAACGATATCCTGTGTTTACTATTCGAAAAGTATTGCTCAAGTAGTAAACTGAAGGGTATATGGGTAGAAGTAGTCCTAAAAGGCCAAGTCTGGATAAGAACTTCTATAACTAAGATATGTACCATTTTGGAAAAACTCATTCTGGCATTCAGGGCGCTATAGCCTGAGCTTGGCTACAAGGCTTACTTTTTGCAAGGTCAGAGGTTTAATATTTGCCTTTCCCTTGGTAACTCTAGCCCTATACCATCAATTATCAGTATAACAAACTAAGTATTGTGTGAAAAGAATTGCAAGGGAAAGGGTAGAATGGTTCCCAATCAATTCAACTTACTTAAAAAGAAAGTACAAGGAAAAAAATAAGTAAAAAGTGTATGCATTAAAATGTGAGATTTTTACAGAGTCATTTAATCACTCATTGTCATGTATGCTAAGTTTATGAACAATATTTTCTATTGGTAGTGACACTTTTATACTGACAGTATATACTTTTTCATTTTTCTAAGAAGATTATTTAATTATTATTTAGAACAATGGATTGCGTTTATAGACACATATATGAGTATACCCACTATTTGACGGGAATGAGGATCAAACACAAATTTCATACAGAGATGGAGAGACGAGGATGTGCATAAAATTTTACTTCAAGAAGAGTGGGTATAGTCAAACCTACACCGTCTTACCCCGTGGGCATCCCCACAGACAATGGAAAACTAGTTAGGGTTGATAACCTCTGATGACAGGTTGTTCATTAACAGTGATATCACCCCCATCTTCCGTTTTCTGCTATTCTTTTGCTTTTAAGCTTTAACAAGTATTTGAGGGCATAATTTACAGATCTATAACTAAAGCACGAAATCAGTTTAGTAGGAAGGAGGGTGTTAAGAAGACTTTGTTAAACGAACAAAAGTCAATGTACTGTGCTCAAAATTCAAGGTCCAGGCGATTTTCTCGAGCATACCATTTTGTGTAGAAAGTCACATACAAACCTAAAAACAAGGAAAAAAAACGGTTATCGACAAAGAAAGGAGGAAATTGTTGAATGGAAGAAATCGATTTAAGATCAAAAGTGAGATAAAATGGGAAAGGAGAAATTGAATATGAACTTACTCTGGAAACCTTCCTTCAACTATTGAAAAGTGTAGATTCCTACTGAGCTGCAAATTTTGGAGATGTAATGACTTTAATCATACACGTTAAAACAATATAGTTACAATAGTCCTTTTATCCAGATGATATTACTTGTACCTGCAGCATGTAGTATAAATTATGATACGACAAAAGCTGAGATCCCATTGCATCTTTTGTCACAAGGCAATGGATGTAAGCCCTGGTATAGTTCTTGCAAACCTGTGAGAGAGGAAACAAACTAAAACACGTGCTGGCTTCTGCAAAAAGATTTATCGGATAAAAAAAACGACTAAGACATACCATACAAGGGCAAGTGGGATCAATTGGACGCGTGTCTTCAGCCATTGCTTTGTGTTTTAATTTCAATACTCCCTGGAAAATTACATGAAAAATTTAAGTAAAAAAATATATTGACACATAAATGAGTAAAATTTGTAGAATTTTTTTAAAACTAGTATTACTGTAAATATATTAAAACCAGTGCAATAAAAAATTGAATCACTAGAGCCTAATAGGGAGACAGCATCATTATCTGTTAAAGTTCAGTTTTTCCAATGTTGATGTATACACAATAATTACAATTTTGTTACCAGTTTCTTAGTCCTTGTACAATTCTTAGGTGTAGTTGCGTGCTTGTATAACAGTTGTGTGCGTGTGTGGGGAAAGAATGTCAAATTATGAATAAAAAGGATAAAAAATGGCAACCTCAGGAATGAGAGCAGTGCCAAAGCGTGCTGTACGGGTGGGATACACGCAGTCATACATATCAGCACCCAAAGCACTACAAACAACAATATCAAGAGGATAACCAACTCCCTGAAAGTTCATGCAAAATGTGATGACATTACACATTTACACTGATTATTTTTAAAACCAAAAAATGGGTTCATATGATCAAGTCATTCTGACCATAACATATCGTGGTTTATCCTCTGGCAAAGCAGCAGTGCACTGAGCAACAACTCGCCAAAATGAATTTTTATCTTCACCGCCTGAAAGACCACCAATAGCATAGCTGTGACAAAAGAAAATTATATTTAACCCCACATAACTATTGTAAAAACTATTAATTTCAATTTTCAAGACTTCTGTGTGCAGGTGTTCATATATAAAAGCAACTTGGGTCTATGAAAATTATGTTCTTTTGCTGGGAAAAAACCAAGCTCAAGCAAAAGTATCCAAACATTACCATGTAAAAATTACATGTTCTCCTGTGCCGATTGCAAGGGATAGTCTTGTAAGGTTCATTCTAATTTGCTTAAATTCATAAAAGAAAACCTTTATGCATCAAAATGTCTTGTATACTAGAACAAAGTCTCAAGTATGAATTATTTTTTCTAGTATCCATGGATGTCACTAAATTTGGGACACAATCGCCAAAAAAAAAAACTATGACTTTTCCTGACTAGATCAAGTTGAATACACGTTGATCTTAAAATTTTTAACGATTTTGATGAGTTTTCTTGGCTTTCATGTACCTTAATTTTTTCCCATAAATCCTCAATCAATTGACAGTAGCAATTAAGGTCAATGAATTAAAAAAACAGATCAGGCAAAGGTCCCCCTTCCTCCAAAAAAAATGAAACATGGATATAGGCCAAAAGGGGAGAAAACTAACAAGTAACGTAAAACTATTTTTTAAGCTTAAAACTTATCATAGTGCACATCCGCTTTATGAATAATTTGTTTGACCAAGTTCAGTTTAGGAAGGCAACTGTACCCGAAGCCAAGTCAAATCAAAGTGGCCAGTAGGTCCAGTACAGTCTAGTCTTTTTCTTAAAACAACCAAAAAGTATAAATAGTATCAGAAAAAACCATAAACAATTTACATGTTGACAAGAATTTTGCACCTACCCAGGCAAATTGCGCTCCACCAAACCCTTAGCACAGATATCCCTGATTACAGAATACCATAATTTATAAGCAATATACAACTTACAGAGGTAAAATAGTAATCAAATATAATGAAGAACAAATAGCAAGAAGGTTATGTTTTGTGCTTGAATTCACCTCAATATAGGATCTAAACCACCTTGAACAATATCAAATAAGTTTTGATCATGAGGTCTCTTGTGAGCTGTCACATAAGGAAATGTGCATCGGTATTTAGCACACAAAACAGGCAGTGCTAGAAAACTATAAGAATAATGGCCTATTATTTCTATTTAACATTCATGCTAAAATAAATACCAAACCTTTTACAAATTGACCATAATTTTTATACATGGCACATGCTAAATGAAAAACATAAATCACTTTCATCCTCTCTTCTATAACAAAGTATCTAATGTGCTAGTGATTGAATAAAAACAACTCAAGGATGAAAAACTATATAAATTTTTCCTTCCATTGTCTGTCTTTTACAGTTCTATCTTATAAGAAATAGAATATACAACAGAAATGTGTACTAAATAATAGTAAGAAAATATATTACTGCAATAAGGCTATGTTTTTCATTATGAAGAAATAGCTGTCCAATAACCAAGTGATATAAAACTCATACAGCCACTACAAAATAAATGAAAAACAAAATATTAGATGCTTTTTCCATTTCAAAGATGTGCATAGTTATCAATATTATAATTTACTAGATCTAGAATGAAAAGTTTAATTCAGAAATTTTCAATTAAGGAAAAAATGATTGACTGAATATGGTTTAAGGGTTGCTTCTCAGGTTAGCTTGAATAAAGTGCAAGTCAATTTAAAATGATTTCAGTTGCACTCATGCTTCACAATAAGGAAATAAATAATGAAAATCGGAGGATTACTTTCTTCTTTTTGTATCACAAGAATAAGAATTGTGCAAGTTAGGCCAGAGTTTATCCGGCATCACAATTCAACTCTTCTTATTGTGACTCTGTACTCCACTTCAATATTTACCTGCTATACATCTGTCTATCCATCTAAGTGTTCGATACATAGCTTCCTCAACTCGTGGACCAGTAATGGTGGTCTTTACAACATCATCAAGAGCCATAATGATATCTGCTCCAATTCTGTTCTGCATAATTAATGATAAAAACATGAAAGCCCATAAAACAAGGGAGCATCAAATCTTTCAAAATTCTTACATAAAGGTAAAAACTGTCACAGCAACGCACAATGGAATGTATTAACCTGCTGAATTGAGAAAATAAGAAGAAAGACTATAGAGGGAGAAAGGATAGAATTGTTCAAGTGAAATTGGCCAATCGTACAATACTAAAGATATGTACAATGTCTATACATCTCTATTAAAAGACCAAGTGAGGACATTTTCCAAGTAAAGAAAGAAAGAAATATCTTAAGAAAATAAACAGAATTATGAATGATTAACAATGAGTCACGGTCCATCGATAGTAAAGTGAAGAATATTACGGGCTGTCTTGAACTGTCAATTTGTAAATCTTTATATAAACTAATAGCAAGAAAGTTGAATGAAGAGTAGAGAAGGACAGTAACATCAGCAAAAGAGAAATGGGAAAGAAGATAAAGGATAAGACCTTTATATAAGGTCTAAATTCCAATGCTCATGGAAGTTCTAAAGAATATCAACCCTCCTTCAATTGTTAATATTATAGAACCGACTAACTTAAAACATCGAAATGTTTTATTAAAAGTAAAATCACATTATGCAAACTACCATGATTTCCTATACATTTTAAACACAACACAATAATTCGATCAAAAAAAGAAATACGCTCTGGTAAAATTTTAAAGAAAACATGAGAGAAAGGATTTAACTTACTTGGATTTGAATTGATTCCTCTGGTGTTAGAAGCATCGGCTTTCCATCAACCGGTGACTGCATCAAGAGAATAAACTTGTGTTACAATAATACAAAGAATAAAAGATAGCCATTATACTTCATTAAAATAATTCCATAAACATTACTTAATGTAAATTCTTTCATTAAAAAGATATTAAATAAATGCAATAAATTGATTGTAAAATGACCACCACTATTCCATTAATGCAAATGCAAAGGAAAAAACACTTATTAATATTATCATATCATGCCTCCATAGGGATGAAAATGGGGTGAATGTGAGTGTGGGTAGTATTTCCCCTGAATCCATCCCTAGTTATATTAACAGGTATTAAGACTGCAATGGATGCCATTATCCATGGAGTAACTACATGTCTACCCAAATTTAAAAAACTAAAAGGATTAGCATCACTTATCCATGTGCTTGTACAATAAAAAACTTAATTGATATTAAAAATCATAATCATGACATGCATGTAATGTTTGATAGACAAAAAACTTTTATAATGCAAATGGTACCCATGTGTGGGTATTAAAATACCCATACCCACTCATCCCGACACTCAAGTCAGACAATGAAAAGTATCCATCATGACCCGTTGGAGATAAATATTCTATCAAACCTCAGGCGTCCATCCAATCAAATGTTTGTTTGACCAAACCCAGGGGTCAGAATGGTTCATGGTCCATGGGTCAACATGCATCATATATTGTTAGTTGGATATCAAATGCAGATATTGAAAGTTCTTGGTAAGATATTAAATGTATTATTAGAAGTTGTGAGGAGATCTCGTGTAAGTGCTCCTTCTTCTGACACCGTTGAACCTTTGGAAATTCCTTGAATATTAATTGTGAACCTGACCTTGATGACTTGCCCATTGCTTTGAGGAAAGGAACTCAGTCTTGTACCAAGTATCCTATTTCTCACTTTGTGACTATTACAAGCCTATCTATGAAGCACCAAAGTTTCCTCTTTGCCATTGATGCAATTAGAGTCCTTACTTCAGTTCAAGAAGCATTGAAGGATGACATTGGGTTTCAAGCCATGAATGAAGAGATGAATGCCTAGGCAAAGAACCAAATGTGGGAAATTGTTAACTGGCCACTAGATGAAAAGGCAGTAGGATGTAGATGGGTTTGTAATGTAAAGTATAAATCAGATGGCACATTAGAACGTTACAAAACAAGATTAGTTGCTAAAGTATTTACTCAGACTTATGGTGTTGATTATGAGGAGACATTGCTCTAGTGGCCAAAGATGAATACAGATAGAATCAATCTTCCTTGGCCAGCTTATTTGGTTGGGAAGTTCAACAATTTGATGTGAAAAACGATTTCTGCATGGACAAAGGGGAAGAGCTCTATATGGAAATTCCCCCAAGTTTTAGGCCTATTGAAGGGAACAAAGTACGTAGGTTGAAGAAAGCTTTGTATGGGCTCAAGCAGTCACCTCGTGCTTAGTTTGGTAGACTCAGTCAGGTTATGATCTCCATGGGGTATCGACAAAGTCAAGGTGACCAAACCCTATTCATCAAGCATTTCCCAAAGGTAAACTTACACTAACTCCTGTGTATGTTGTTGTAGGAGATGATGAAATGTATAAACAGCTTGAAAGAAAAGCTTGCCGCCGAATTTGAAATGAAAGATCTAGGAAAATTGAATTACTTCCTTGGGATAGAAGCATCTTACTCGAAGAAAGACATCTTTATCTCCCAAAGAAAGTATGTTATTGATCTTCTCAAAGAAACAGGTATGATTGATTGCAAGACCAATGGAGTTCCTACATAACAAAACCATACAATTGGAAGTGATGAAGGTAGTTCTATTGTGAATAACGACCCAATATCAAAGACTTGTTGGGAAGCTCATTTAATTAGGAACACCAGACTAGACATAGCCCATTGTTGTTAGCAGTATGGCATAATCCAAGGGAAAGACATTTACAGCTATAAACAAAATCCTCAATATTTTAAGACAAGGGAATTATTGTATAGGAGAGATGAAAAAATATAAATGGAAGTGCATATGGATGCAGATTAGCAGGTTCTGTCATAGGATACGAAGTCCACCTTAGGAATTGCATGGTCTTAGGTGGAAATTTGGTGACTGGGAGAATAAGAACAAATATTGTTGCAAGGTCTGGTGTAGAGGCTGAATTTCGAGCTATGGCACAAGGGGTGTGTGAATTGTTATGGATGAAAATTATTCTAAATGATCTTAAAGTAGCATGTGAAGAAAACAATGATCATTTTATTGTGATAACAAGTCAACTATTAGCATTGCCCACAATCTAGTTCAACATGATAGGACCAAGCACAGAGATAAATCAACACTTTATTAAAGAGAAATTGGATAATGACCTTATCACTATTTCCTACGTCCCATCTGGACTTCAGTTAGCAAATCTATTTACAAAAGGTCTTACCACTAAGCGATTTTATGATCTAACATGCAAGCTAGGAATGAGATATCCACTCGCCAGCTTGAGGGAGAGTGTTGTTAGTTGGATATTAAATGCAATACTAAAAGTTGTTGGTAGGATATTAAATGTATTACTAGAAGTTGTTAGGAGCTTTTAGAAGTTGTTAGAAGGTTCTAGAGATCTTCATTGTAATTATTACTAGGGTGAGTCTCATATATAGAAGTTGATGTATTGTTTCAAATCGATCAATTGAATAAAGTCTTCTTTCTTTCATAAAATTCTTTTAAGTTATATAATATGTTAGTTATTTGTATATTAATGTGTGAGAGCGTATTAGTAAACCAGAGGTATGAGACTAAGTAAATATATAATGATAAATATCTAATGCATTTCTTTTATTTCCATTTCTCTATATTTTTTTAACATATTTGGACTATGAGGCCTGAAATCAACATGGAATATTAGGAGAATTGAAAACCAGCCCATGTTTGATCCAGTTAAGCCCAATTTTCAGTTTGGCAGAAAAGTAGGCAATTTTTTAGAAGTCTAAGCTAGTCCAACTCTCCAGTTTTAGACAGTTTAACCAGTTTTCACTGTTTTGTGGGTTAGAAATGATTTAGATGGTTTTAGGATTTAATCACACTGGTTGCAGTCAAAGTATAAGTTGGAAGACACAGTCACAACCAGATTTCAGAACACTGATCATGAGTGAAGCAAAGAACACACCATCGAAATATTTTCTATATCTTCAAAAGGAAAAAAAAATACCTGAAATGTCACACCTTTTTCTGTGATGTCAGCAAGATGCAACAGCGAAACCTAAAACATCAGTGAAACAAAAATGAATTCATTTAACACGGATGCTGAACATTATTATCAATCAACAAATGTATAATATTGGTTCGATTACATAAACATATTTACACTAAATATTCAGGATGAAAGATAATAGAACGGTTGTGAGAATGCTAGAAATCACAAAGTACATGCAATGTTATTAAAAACTGTTGAGATATCTGGTGAAGAGACAAAAATAATCCCTCTTTGTGTGTCTGTTCCACCATAGGATCATGCATATATATAAGTGTCTCAAATACAAAGAAGATACAAAGAGATGGCCCAAGGTCCATTAGTTACATTTAACAAAAACTATAACCAAATATACACAAGGTCATGAACTACCATTTGAAAGCCACCAGAATCTGTAAGCAGACCCCTTTGCCAATTCATAAAATTATGAAGGCCACCAACTTCATCAAGAAGCCGAAGTTAGGTCGAAGGGCCAAGTGATAAGTATTTCCAAGTATTATTTGGCAACCTATATCCTCAAGCTGACTATTTGTCAATCCCTTTATTGTTCCTGACCATTCAAAAATCCCATTTATAAGACAAAATTGCAGCATCTCAAGTGAACCACAACCAGTAAGCAATGCAGCAAATTCCTTACAAACCAAGACAATCACATCAATCAATGCAAATACCATCATTTAATATAGTATTTTCCATGGACAAACAAAAATCATAGCCCATAAGAAAATAATTCCCTTCAAAATAAGAAACATAAATTCAGTATTTTTGTCCAGTTAAAATGAAAAGGAATTTGGGGACAACTAAAATATGATTTTGATTCTTTCATCTAAATTTTGTCCAGTTTGGTGCCCTCAATTTAAAAGATTTCACTTTGATCACTTAAAATGTTTTTATTAGATCAGATTGTTCCTTCGAAAGCTTGCCACGTGTGAACAAATTAACTGGACTAACCGAAGAAACATTTTTGGTCTCTAAACAAACACCTGGACAGAGTGAAACCTTCTAAGATTAAACTAAGCAGACCAAACTGAATCCAAAAATATTTTAGCCATTTGGGAACTCATTTAAAAAATGGACCCTGTTTTTTCAGTACAACCAAAGTTTTAAGGAGGAGAATACAGAGCAATAGAAAAATTGTTTTTATCGCATTGCGGCAACCGAACAGAAAGAATCAAGTTTGAAAGTGGACCTTGTGTGCCCACAGGCATAAAACAAAGGAGTTTGGCACACATGATTGAGGAGTGTCAACCGAGCAGCGCGAGCACGTTGAAACTGCCAAGAAAACCTGAGAAAAAAAAAGGTAGATTTCAGGAATAAACTGAATTACAGTTTAAAACCCTAAAAATATCATGCACTGGCAGGAATGACAAAAAACAGGTGGCACACATGAGCAGTCATGGCATCTAGCTACAACATATTATGGCATCCATCAAGGCACTGTTCATTCAAACATTCAAATGAACCAAAAAAGACTCAAAGCTCGATTAAGAAAATCAATTTGATTCAACTGCAGGAACAAAATCTTAATAGAATACAAAGTGAGAACAATGTGGTAGTAGATGTAGCGCGGTAAACCTCAAAAACAAGCGCCATCGCTTTTGTACCGGTTGTAGTATATCCTGACAGGGAAATAAGATAAGAATAAGGAAACGAAAAAAACTTCTGCATAAACAGTGAACGTTGTCGGTAGAGAGAATGAGAAATAACTTACAGGTACGCAGAGAGAGAAGAAGAGGAAGAAGATGCGGCGAATGAAGGAGTGAAGCAGTGAAAGAAAGTTAGGGTAGGTTAACGTGAAAAAAAGGTGCGAGTGAATACCTTGGCGGCTGCGAGTGCGAGAGTGTAGCGGTGGCAGCATATTTGTAGTGTTTGTTTTTGGTTTTGGTTTGAAACACAAACACCAAGTGATGGGAGCCTGAAGGCTCATCCCTCGAAACATGCGAACTACCCACTTTGACCAACAATGTTCCTGTTCCACAAGGAGTTCGGTCTCTCCTTTCCCACTTTTTGATAAAATGTAGTTTGTACCCAAGGCGTCCCAATAGTAAGGGAAGGGCAAAACTACTAGGAAAAATTACCTACAAATAAGGGGATGTGTCTCTCTGTCAGGGGTCAATCACTATAGGCAAAGCCAAGGCGTTAATCACATGCTACAAAAAAGTTTACCTACAATCCTATTGCAACCAGCAGCTTCACATTATAGTAAAAGAAATAATTTCTTTAATTGCTTGGATATTAAATATTTGAACTTATAAAATAAGATAAGATAACAATTAGGATACCTTAAATAAATAAGGACCAGATTCGTCTAGAATTTATAATTTCATTTAGATATAAATTATTTCTATGGAAGTATAAATTTGAACATATGTGTACAGACTATTCTCTCTTTTTCTTTAAATGCATTTAATTAAATAGTTACTTATAATAACATGTAAACAAAATGTAACTAATAATAATTAATAATATGATTTAAAAATATTATGTTATAAACTTAAAATGTTACAAATATGTTATATAAAAGAAAGTTTATGAATAGTAGAGCTATCAAATCGGGCCACCAGGTCCGATCCGACTCGGCCTACCACGGGTTGGTCACTTAGTGAGTCAACCCAACCCGGCTCATTTATTAGCAAGTCAGAAAAATTCGAACTCGGCTCGACCCACCATGGGTTGGTGGGTAAAACGGGTTGGCTCACTGCCTCACTTAATTACAATTTTTTTAAAATAAAAAGAAATTACAAATTTTCTATAATACAAATCTAAACAAATTTCACTCCCAAATTTGACTCCCAACATGGGTGTTAATATTTGAAAATAAGGACACTAAATAATTTTTTCAAGCAAAAACAAAATAATAAATATTTTTTTATAAAATTAAAATTAAATTTTAATAAAATAAAATTAGGTAAGTGGGTTTGTGGGCCAATTCGGCCCACCACGGGTTCAACCCGCATGAGCCGGATTTAAACGAGCCGGGTTGAAATCTGACCCGCATAAAAAAAATACAATTTTTTCTAATCCAACCCGACTCAAACTCGTGGTGGGCCGGGTTGGCTCGCGGGTTGTGACCCATTTTGACAGCTCTAGAATAGCATAATATGTGACATTTTATTGTGAGTTTAATTTTCTTTTAAATATTATAATTTTTTATTTCATAATCAATGATAAATCAATTATTTTTATTTTTATATAAATAATATATTTGAAATCATTTTGTTATGTAAACAAGATTTTTATATCTCTCCATTACTCATTATATACTAGTAAAAAAACATTGTCCAGTAAGCTTGAGGACTTGTTTGAAATAATATTTAAGAACTTATGTAGAAAGAAAAAAAAAAGTTAAACACAGTCATAATTCTCTCGTTGAAACATTACTTGTAAATTTTAAAGTCACGGCGTAGATTTTATGGCTTTTGGAAAATACGGAATCAAATTTATTGGTAGACAATGTGTTTTTCTATTTTGTGTTTGGTGAGAAAAATATTTAGGGGTCACACGTTTTACGTTTGTTTGTTCGAAAACTTCAATAATAATGAAAGAGTAAGCAAGAGTGGGTTGTGGTAATCACATTAGATTATAACACTAACATATACCAAACTAATGCAGATACTTAGATTAAATTTAATTTACATGGATATGGTTTTTGTTATAAATGGATTAATATTGGAAATTTAAATGTGAGTTCAAGTCTCACATTAGATAAGAATAAGAAAGTAGAACAGTATATAAAGATGAATGACTCATTAACCATTTGTCTTACTGTTTTAGGTAAAGAGTGATGTCAATCTCTTATATAGTTGAGCTCATATCTCATTGGTGTTTGTATCTCTCCGGTGAACCCCCTCCATAGACCCAACAATGGTATCAAAGCCGATGGTTTGTCTTGGTGACCGACTTAGATGAGTATAATGGTCCCTATACCAAAAGTCTTCATGGCAAAAGGTATTTAGGTAAGCAAGTACCGTTAAGATGAACGATGGTTGGAAATGACTACTCGTGATTGTGGTTGGTTGGGAATGCTTCCGCTGAGGGGGAGTGATCTATTATGGCAAGGGCCTC